GACAAGGGTTCCCCCTTTGCCACAGAGTTTATGCAACTACAGTGGAGCCAGAGCAAATGGGGAAAGGAACTGCAGCTAAACAGTTCTTTTCCCCATCCACAGCCCTGCTGCCCATTTTCTCAGTGCAAGATTTGTGCTGGCTGGGCTTCTCCCAGTGTGGTTTTAAAATCTCATTTGCTGTGGCTCCACTGAAGTTGCACAAACTCTGTGGCAAAGGGGCAACCTTGTCCAGATGTTGCTGTGTGTCTCTAGCCTGCCTCACTTCACTCCATAGAGTCATACATATCAAGACCATTCAGAAATCATTACTCATGTCAGCTAAGGATCACTTCTTTATATACATAAACTTGGCAGTTTACTCTTTGCTTTAGAAGTCAGTTAGAGTTATATACACACACACACACACACACACATACTTATACTATTACTTAATTTTAATTTGTTATGTTCGCACAACACACCCATGGTTGACTGTACCATGGTTTATTGCCCAATAAAGTCCATAGCAAAATTGTCTCAGGAGAAGAGGGAACATTTTACTTTAAAACTAGAACTAAGGATGATTTTAGGTCATTCCAGATGGAGCCTGGGAATGAGATGAAGACACAGTGCCATGAGGACAAACCAAGACTTGGTTCCCAGAGAATCTTCATGCTGTGGCAAAGACATCTACAAGAGGATCAAAACTGGCAAAGTGGCAGAGCAGTATCATAGTTTAAACAATGTGCCTTTGTACGTATATGCAAACGTATAAAAGGGGTTGGGTGCGCAGTGTGAAAAAGGTCCATCATCTTGCTGATTTTGACACACAGTTCTGGTGGATATCTCTGTGCTGTGGTTAGGGGCAAGTGTGGAAGAGCCCACAATGGCTGACCAGCTGAATTTGAGAACAACAATTGCTAGCAATGCCTTTTCAGAAAGCATCCAGCTCTTAAATCTAGTGGCTGCTATTGCAAGATCCTCAATGATTTTGTCTAATTTTTGGTTTAAAAGTATCCAAATTAGTGGCAATCACTGCATCTGCTGTTAGCAAATTGCATGCTTTAATTCCGGCTTCAGTGAGAAATATAGTATCACTACAGACATGCAGGGACAGAACAGAGGCATCTTCATTTTCAAGAATGCCTGTTCTCCATAACGGCCCTTCAACTGTATCCATACACTCAAATACCCTTTTTTTAAAAACTATGTGTGTTGTAATAGCACAATTAGTGTAATTCTTGTCTTGCAAATAGAAGGTTGCCAATTCAGAATGTGGCAAAAATGTTCTCTCTGTCTCTGTCGTTTTTCCAGTCACCTGATTTTACTGTAAAATGGTGCACTGCACAAACACTGCCACTTTTTTTATAAAAAAGCACAAGAAAAAGAAGGCACTAAGGAAAGGAAAAAAAAGTAGCAGTTAAAAAAGTCCTTCTTTTGGCCTTCAAAGTAGCAAGCTTTTATTTACTTGGCAAGAGTTGCAACAATTGTGCTGTTAGAGAACTATAACAAAACACAGGCTTAAAAGATATTAGAAAGAAACACAACAATCATTGAGAAATACTTTTAAGCTAGTTATTTTGCTACCGTGTGTGTGCATTTTGATATTAATTCAACATAACTTTGTATTTGTATGTTTTACAAGTATGTGTGCAATACACACCTGAACTCACACAGATGTTATCTTACAAGTATGTGTGCAATACACACTTGAACTCACACGGATGTTATCTTACAAGTATGTGTGCAATACACACTTGAACTCACACGGATATTATCTTACAAGTATGTGTGCAATACACACTTGAACTCACACAGATGCTATCTGAGAACCATTGTACCATATCTTTCAAAAATCCTGGAGCACCGGGGAAGTACCTGAGGATTGGAAAGAGGCTGATGTGGTTCCCATCTTCAAGAAAGGGAAAAAAAACAGACCCAGGAAACTACAGATCAATCAGTCTAACATCAAAACCTCCAGTGATGGAGTGCCCATGATTTCTGAAGGCAAACTATTCCACTGGTTAATTATCCTCACTATTAGGCAGTTTCTCCTTAATTATGGGCACTCCATCACTGGAGGTTTTTAAGAAGAGGCTAGACAGTCACTTATCTGAAATGGTATAGGTTCTCCTGCTTGAGCAGGGGTCTGGACTAGAAGACCTCCAAGGTCCCTTCCAGATTCTATTTTATTCTGTTGACATCTATATATACACAAAGGTATATAAATATATACTGAATCCTTGCAAGCTGTTGATAAAGTGTCTCAGTCTTGACAGAATTTTCTTAACCCAGTTTAGAGTTACATCAGTACCAGCACAGGAGCATTTAAAACAGGAAGTGCTGAGAAATTAACATCTGTGGGTCAGGATATTTAAAAAAATGCAAGATGGAGGTTGCAATCATGCAATCGAAACCCCATACTTTTGTATATATACATGTGTGATATTAACACGAGTGGGATGGGGTTTTGATTGCATGGAATCAATTGCCATATTAACCTTTTTTGGGGGGGCCTTCCTCCAAGATATTGTTCTACAGAGATGCCTTCATCTGATTACAGAAAGTTAGCATTATGGAGTAAATTATTCTAAAGAAGAATTCTGTGCTGAAATGGATTTGATTCATTTTTATTATTTTATTTACAGCCTATACATTTTTCAAATTAACAAATCTCTCTCACTCGTCAGAGCTTGCCCTATTCAGTAAAGAACTTGACTAAATTTGAAATCCTTTCGGTTTTAAATCCACATGCACTCCAGTTCTACTAAGATCTTGATTGTCCCATGGTTCCTATCACTCTCCTGGACATCCTGGCTCAATACAATAGAAGTTCTGCTGGTAGTCCTCGACCTACGACAATTGAGCCCAAAATTTCTGCTGTTAAGTGAGACATTTGTTAAGTGAGTTTTGCCCCATTTTATGACCTTTCTAACCACAGGCTGTTAAGTGAATCACTGCAGTTGTTAAGTTAGGAACAAGGTTGTTAAGTGAATCTAGCTTTCCCCATTGACTTTGATTGTCAGAAGGTCTCAATAGGTGATCATGTGATCCCAGGACACTGCAACCATCATAAAGATGAACCAGTTGTCAAGCATCTGAATTTTGATCGTGTGACCATGATCCCCATGGTCGTGTGAAAAACGGCAATGTCGCTTTTTTCAGTGCCGTGGCAACTTTGAACCGTCACTAAACGAACTGCTGTAAACCGAGGACTACGTGCAGTCTAACCCAGTTGCAGGACACTCGTTTGGGGAAGGCCAAGCACCTGGAAAACCTCGAACTTTCTCTTCTTATGCGCGGTTCACACTTCGTTTAAAAAAAAAAAAGCAATTCTAATTGAAGTTTCACTTCCTGAAAAAAACCTACTCCTTTGCCAAAAGAAACCCAGCTGCCGAATAAAAAGCTTAGCTTCTTGGAAAGCCGGAGCCATCTAGCAGGATCGCCCTCAATTGGGCGAGACCGCCCCGATGGAAATGAAACTTAAACTTTCGTGGAGATCACGTGGTTTACAGGAACAGAACAGGGCCGAACGCAGCCGGACCACCTCCTCGCGACCGCGCTAGGCCTCTTGACAGCGATTGAAAAGAGCGAAAGGCGTATGCTCTCCCCGCCAGGAGCGTGGTTCTCTCTGATTGGCTGTCATTGGCCAATGAAATTTCCCTCCGATTTGTAATATAAACATCACGCAGAGGGCCAGAGTTTGTTGTGGTTTGCGCGTTTTTCCTCTGTCGTGCCGTAGGAGGTCTCCGCTGGTGGGGGGAAAAAAAAGGTAACGATTTGTCCTTTTTCTGGAGTGATTTTAACTCGTAGAAGAGAGTGAGTTAGCTGAGCCGAAGTTGCTTCCACCCAGATGAAGGGGAAAAAAGCCACTTTCTTATTCTAGGTGGGTATTTTCACTTTTTCGGGATCTATCTAGCCCAGTGTTTCTCAACCTTGACAATTTTAAGGCATGTGGACTTCAACTCCCAGAATTCCACAGCCAGCATTGCTGGCTGTGGAATTCTGGGAGTTGAAGTCCACATGCCTTAAAATTGTCAAGGTTGAAAAACACTGATCTAGCCAGAGCAAGAAGTTTTGCGGCTCTGAGCTGCTTTTTCGGTACGGCATCCAATTATTCCATTTTTATAAAAATGAAACTCAGTTTAAACTATCCGATTAAATTATGAAAAAGAAAAAAAGCGTCCTGAAAACGCATTTGCAAACAGCCGAAAACAGGGCAACATCGGAGCAACATCTTTGTATGCTTGACTCACAACGCCCCCCTCCGCCCCGCCCGCCCCCCAGGTAGCAGGTGTAGAGATTTGGTTTATCTGCAGCCTGGAAGAACTAGGTGTGATCTGCTTGTCGGTTGCTCCAGGAAGCAAAGGTAACTCAGTAGATTTGCGCAGGATTTTTCCCTGTTGCGGTTGCATCAACACCTGGGAAGAATTTGGATGCAAGTGGTGGTAAAAAGTAACCATGAGGTGGGGGAGAATGCTAAGTGTATTGCTTTATATAGTTCTGCAGATTGTATGCAAGAAAAGTTCTTGCTTGCTGGTAGGAGACCTGTTTAATGTTCTCTAAGTAATGTGCATATGAATGGGGTATTAAGTCAGTTTGCAATCAAAATACTTTTTCTCTGGGGAAAAAAGTAGAATTTTGGAGTCTTATTTGCTGCTAAGTTAAAGATTATTTTCACCAGCATTGTGCTGATGGAAAGCTATCTCTATGCTACTAAAACAGTTGTGTCTGACTAACCTTCAATTGGTTGTTTCAATTGTTGCTATATGATCCACTGAAATGTGCATCATATGGCAACAGTTTTTGAATCAACATACTTCAGATGGGTTAATTTACAGAATGCATCAAAAATCCAGGACCTATGACTACTGTGGGATTGAAATTGGACACTTCATTGTGTGATCATCATTTTCAGTGTTCCCTGCCAGCTTCTTACAAGGAAAATCAATGAGAAAGTTACTCCTGCTCTCTCTGCTCTTTTGCCTGCCAGTAATCATTCTGTTTCTCTATTTAGGTAAGGAAATACCTTTGAAACGATAACCCAGCAGGGCACAGATTGTTTAGTAGTACAAGGTAAAATTTCCTGCTTTCATTATCAATCTTTGAATCTCCTTTAGTTCCAGATGTTGAAGGAGGGGGATGATGAAATATGACATCATGCAAATGATGTAAGTTATGTATTATAGGGATTTTCCCTATAACAATGATTGTGTGGTGGGTTGGGCTGAGAGAGAATGTGACTGGTCCGAAGTCACCCAGCCAGTTAGGTATGCCCAGGACTGGACTAGAACTCACAGTCTCCTGGCTTCAAGCACCAAGCTCTTAAGAGCTACACAGTTGTTTTAGAGCAAAAGACCTGCTGTTGTTATCCTCAAGTGCACAATATAACCACCTGAATGTTGGTGCACAGATTTGTTGTAGAATACAGTAAAATGGTATAGTACAGGGGTATCAAACTCGTAGCGTCACGCAAAGTGTTGTGATGTATTGTGACTTTTTTCTATTGCTGGCAATGGGGTGGGCGTGGTTTCGTCATGGCGCATCCGGCCCATGGGCTGGCAGTTTGACACCTCTGGTATAGTAGGTGTGGGTAATGATTTAGAAAGATTGTGAAGGATTGCAAAACCTTTTTATTAATGGATTTTGTGAGTCTGTTATATAGAGACTAAAAACATCTTGTCACTATGGGCTTCTACCATACCAAACAGGAATTTTCATCTATTTGAGGCAGGTTTTGTTCAGTAAATATTTATATTTTTCCCTTCTGCAATTCCTTCAAGATCAACTTTCAATTTGAGGAAATAAACATACAATATAGTCAAAACAGTCAAAACCTAAAAATAGCTTGAAATTATCATTAACATTTCACAGTGTAAAAGGTGAGGGTTTTTTTTTTAAAAAAAACCCATCTTCACGATATATCAGTACGACCTCAAAGTAAATTTCAAGCAAGAGTCCCACAGAAAGTGAGATGTCTGAATCCTCATCACCTGCTATCCCCTCAAAAATCTGGAAGAGAACATGCAGTAGCAATTATTTTGGTGGTCAGACAGGTTGATGCCTTTCAAAGCACAAGTATTTTGGCTAATGAGCCCTTAGGTACAGCAAGATATCTCAACTTTTGAAAAGCACTTGAAGCATGTATTCTTATACATTGTGTGGGGTGAGAATATTTGGGTTCTGGGATGTCAATCATTTGAGGTTTAAGGGATGGAGTATGTTAGATGAGGACTTCGTAGATCTGATCAATAAGGTTGGACCCTTATCTGATGCAAAGTCCAATCTACCCAGTGTAGTAGTAGTAGAAGACCTCATTTGACTCTCAGTCTAAACCGAAGACCCTGTTATGAAACTCCTCAACTTAGTACCTATCATTTGAAAACTATGCTTCGTGATACAGGCTGGCTCAGAAATCTGGAAATTTGAGACTCAATATTGACTGAATGGTTGAAAAAGGCTGACATAGGAAGCATCGCCACTACTGACAAGGACAGCGAGTTTGATTCCCCTATTCCAGGGCTGTCAAACTCACAATGTCACATGACGTGTCGCAACGTATCATGACTTTTTTTCCATTGACGGCAATGGGGTGGGCACGGTTTTGCCATGATGCATCTGGCCCGCAGGCCGGCAGTTTGACACCCCTGCCCTTATTCCATCTAGAGTAGGTGCATAGTGGCTTTTCTTCAGATAGAATAGACCAAACTGTGGGTGTACTTGCAGCCTTGTTGAAATTGTGACTGAGCGCTTTCTAGAAGGAATGTGATTCTTGAATGAATTCAATCTGTCATAGTGATAGGTTCACTGAGCTAACTATTGCAATGTGATGTGTGCCAAGTTTTATTTATCTTAACAAATGTATATAGATGCTATATCTCCATTCTGGGCAGTGAACAAAATGAATAGAGAAATTCATTAAAAGCCAAAACTCAATTAAAGGTGTATCAAGGCTCAATAAAAACACAAAACCACTGCAGGAGGACTATTATAGAGCAATATCGGGGGCTGTCTCGGGACAGTTTTTTCCACCTACATGTGCACCAATGGAGAGAATGCTTTGAGTGCTTTCCCTGCATGAGATTGGACATGGGATGTAGACCCACAGACAGTCTTCCTCTGGGGAAAGCCCAGGTTTTGTAGCATCCTGCCTTTAGAGCTAAACTTTGCTATCTCTTCTTGGTATTTCATATTACTTATTTATTAATCATTGCTAATTAAACAGTTGATGTTAGTTTTTGTTGGCTTATTTTGAACTGGCTGCCATGATACTGTGACAAACATTTATTTTGCTCTGGTGTGAAGATTTTTATTCTGGTCTGAAATGATTGACTTCTGTATTTCTAAAACTGCCCAGAGTATTAAAAAAGTTTAGAATGTGATATGGAAGATGAATCTGAAGCCTACTTGGCTATGAAGACATGTAATAAAAATTCAAAAACCAGTAATTAACAAGGTTACGTCATCTGGTTGTTGTTTCGGAACAGGTTCTCCCTGGAGGGGTCTTCCATTAATCCATAAGTTACTTGGTGTAAAAAAGAGAGAATTGTTTCATATTTCACCTGACAGCTACACAATGGCAGCATCTGCAAATAAGGGGTGAGTGCTCCTGGGGTAGAATTCTAAAACAATAACAATAATAAAAATGTATGTGTGGGCAAAGGAAAAGTGGGCTTGTGTATCTTTACTTTTATTTATACACAGTGCTTTTCAGCTAGTGAATAGTATGATAAATCTATCAATAAAGCCAAGCATTTCTCTTTTCTGTAAATAAGAGCTTTTGACCTAAATTACATTGAGAGGAAGGGAAAAAAGCAGCAAAACAAGAAGAGATCAGGACTTCTTTATTAAAGCTTTTGGAAGTAAATTCAATAGCATTTTCTTCCCTGTAAATGTGCTTAGAATTCCAACTTTGCACATCAAAGCCTATAAATAACAAAATAACAAAGAACAAATAATGGTTTTTACAACTCCATGCTGATGTTAGGATGCTGACAGAAAGTGAACTCAATATACCATAAACCTGTGAGTCAGCTTAATATTTCAACGTAGTATCTACTACACCCTAATGCAGAGGTCCACAACCTTTTGGGCACCAGAGACCGGTTCTGTGGAGAGAGTTTTTTCCGTGGACCAGAGGGTGCGTGTTTTTATGTACTGCCTGCATCCCGCAGATGGGGCTTTGCTTGTTTGCATGGACCGGTTTCTGGCATGCCGTGGCTCTGTGCCAGTCCATGGACTGGGGGTTAGAAGTCCCTGCCCTAGCGTTCTGCATTTACACTACTGAGTTGGTTGCAAGTCACATCACTTGTGTGGAGATGCATATTTAATATTTTGCCCTCCCCCTACACATACAGTTGATTGTGTCTATTCTATTTTAGGTGAATCTGAGAGTCCTCATATGCACACTATTGCAATCTTGGCCAACTTAGTATTTTCCACGTATCTTGGACTAGAGCTCCCACTGGCCCTAATGGTATTGCTTTCCTGTCAGGTAGTTGGTGGGTGTTGTAGTCTAGTAATGACACTAGATTGGGGAAGGTTGCATAGTAGCAAGCAGTTTGTGGCTCCACAATCTCCATGCAGCAGCTTGTGCTTCTACATAGCAGCTGGAAATGTTGGGTTTTAGATCAAAAAGAGGACTAAATAATGAGCATTACATTGTAAAACGCGGGGGATTTACAACTGCCATAATTCTGCACTGATGTAATTAGTGTAGTATAAGTTATTTATTAATGATTAGGATAATGATTAGGAAGACTAAGTTATTGCCCATGTTATTTCTGGGGGAGTTACTGATATAGAAAACAATTATTTTTCACCTATCTAAATCTGATTTCACTACTGGGTACTATGGCTCTGTAGCTATTTGGCTTTGAAGGGGAGAAAGTGATTGTACACAATAGTGTACAATACTGTCAATACTCCCTTAAATCAAATATATCTCTCCTTAGGATAGTAGAATACCAGCCAGACTAGCTCAGGAGAAAACACAGTTTCTTCCTAATTGTTGACAGTTGCTCAGCGAACATCCCTCCCACAATTGCATAACTCTACTGTGTCAAATTAATGATTTGTTCTTCTTTTGTCTGCAAACTCACTCCCTTACTGCCGTCAAGCAGTAGTTAAATGTTCCAGGATAGGTAAATTAACATCCACAAGATAAACAAATTCAAGTACAACTTCAAAATAAGCACAACATGTAACAGCCATTGCCTGCCATGTTTGCCTGTTGACATTTTTCAACCTTTAATTAAGGATCAAGTGAAAGTAGCAGAATTTAGCTGATCCTGAAAAAGTTTAACAAAAGTAGGCCTGTTTAGTACTGTATATGGATGAAAAAACACCAAGACATTCGAGACTAGATAAGGAAGTTGAAAAACACTCCAAAGTAGTGACAAATCATATCTGTATTGTTCTTAAAAGAAGAATGAATGTTGTCTGTTGCAGCATTAAGTGTTAAGCTTGGTTTGAGGGAGAAAAACTATTAAGTTAGAGAAGATTGCTATATTGTATATTATGACTCTCAGATTCACCTAAAATGAACAGAATGATCCAATCAGGCTATGCCATGAAAAAGTGCAGTTTTGTAAAGTTCAGGGAAGAAAGATTTGATTCTGGCTTCTTTATTTGAAAACCCTATTATGGCAGCTACACATCCTTTTTTTAATTGGAGGTTTTATTGTTTTGCCTGAAGTCTGCAATGAGAGATTTTGGAGACCACCCTGCATGTCGACTTACAGTCATTTCTCTTGTGGCAATTCTTGGCTATAGTTTTCAAGGAGTAAAGTTCTTCTATTTCCTCACTCAGGAATCCTAAAAAAGTTGGGTTTTTTGACTGGTTGATTGAACAGATCAACAGTGGAAGCTACACGGGTTTGGAGTGGACAGACAAGAATCACACAGAGTTTTGTATCCCTTGGAAACATTATTCAAAGAGGGATCTTGTGGCAGATGATTATAAGATTTTCAGGGTATGAACGTCTTCTGCTCAAAATGTTTATGTGTATATGTTTGCCATGCCAAACTGTGTACTCTCTTCTGTAACCATTTCAAGCTTCTAATATTTTAAATAGATCATGATGTAAGCTTTTGCAGATTGGACTTACTCACTGATGCTGAAAGAAACCAACATAGTAATTTTTCTGAAAGCTTTGCTATATAAATGAAGAATCCATTTTACTCAAATATCGCTAGTATAAATAGCAACTTGTGGTTCCATTTAGATGACAGATTACTTTAAAAACGTCTAGATGCATGTAGGCAGCGGCAGCCCATTTTTGCACCCCATAACGCAGCGTCCTGGTTTTGCTCCCCGCAGCCGCAGTGCTAGCACATATGAGGGGGTATGCATACACACGTGCATGCACTGGCCAGCCTGTCCCGTGGCCCAGTGGCCAGCAGGCCATGGCCCACTATCAGGCTGCAGCCCACAGGTTGGGGACCCCTGTTCTAGGTTGCTTCTCTCCTTGATTAGTTTCCATCCGTTGCTTCTTATCCTGCCTTCAGATGTTTTGGAGAATAGGTTGAGCCCCACTTCTTTGTGGCAGCCCCTGAGATGTTGGAACACTGCTATCATAGCACCCTAGTCCTTCTTTTCATTAAACTAAATATACCCAATTCCTGCAACTGTTCTTTGTATGTTTTGTCCTCCAGTCTCTTAAACATCTTCGTTGCTCTTCTCTGCACTCTGATATATTTTTTATATCATGGTGACCAAAATTGGATGCAATATTCCAGGTGTGGTCTTAACCAAGGCATTATAAAGTGATATTAACACTTCATGTGATCTTGATTCTACCCCTCTATTAATGCAGCTTAGAACTACAGTATGTTGGCTTTTTTGGCAGCTACAGCACATTGCTGGATAAAGGAGAAAGGGTTGGAGTAGCAATGTCTGATTAATGAAAACCATTTCTGAATATAGTAGTATTTTAATCTTCATTCTCACTGTAGTTGAGTTCAGAAACTGCCCACAAGCAAGGACCTGTTATTTACAATGGGTGGAGAGCTCTTATTAGTACGTGTGGAAACTTTGCTCCCATTCTGAATAGCAGATATCTCTCTCAGTGTACGTGACTACTTTTATTTAAAGAAAGTTTTATTCAAGTTTATTATAGCATAAAATACAATGCGAATACAGATTAAAAAGGAGGAAGTACAGGGTAAAAAGAGAGAGAAGATTCTGATTTCCAATTCTTTTCAACACAGTAAAATATTAATACATTTATGACTTCAACTTTTTACACTACCTATAATTATTACAAGCCAGTTCTATAACTACACAATTATTAAATATTCAAACCAAATTCTAAATTTTAGTTTTTTTCTATCTCAAGCATAAAAATCAGAAGTAATATCCCAATAAAAACTAACAAAATAAAATCTCTTTGTTTAAATCAGGTGACATCACCATCTTAACCAAATCCATTTCTCCCCTGTTGTAAGAAATGATATATATTTCTATTTAACTTATTAATCTTTTTAATCTATAATCATCTGTATTAACAAAAATCACCATACTTTTTCAAATACTTTAACCTTTTATATTCATTTTAAAATCTTAAAGGTTTCTTTAAAAAGTTCATCTTTGTAACTAAAACAATTAATTCTAATGCATTTTTTAAACTTTCAACATACATACATTCAATAATATTTTGCAAACTTAGGAATTAATTTTTATAATGCAAGCATTATAAAAAGAAACAAAATGGTTGCAACCCCACCTCCCAGTTTATGGACGACTTACTTGTCTATTTCGCTATATAGAGAATCTTGTGGGATGATTCTGGGACTCTCCCTTAGCAAGAAAGTCATAAAAACTTAGGAAACTCAGTTCCCTGTTTGTAAATTTAAAAAACTTCGGTCTGGAAAGAGCTTTCCCAAGTGGTCAGTTGGCTATATTCATTGGTAGTCAGTGTACATCAGGGATAGTCAACCTTGGCTCTTTTATGACTCGTGGACTTCAACTCTCAGAATTCCTGAGCCAGCTAAGCTGGCTCAGGAATTCTGAGAATTGAAGTCCACGAGTCATAAAAGAGCCAAGGTTGACTACCCCTGGTGTACATGATCCCTTTCAGACAGTAACTAATACAAAATATGCAAGTTCTTATCATCACATCTCGCCACGGTGTGCTTCTCATCTGGTTTACCATCTCCTAGTTACTTCTTTTAAAAAAGGTTAGTTGCACAAGAATAGTCTTCTCCAATCTGGCGTTCTCCAGATATTGGATACTTGCATTTTTGAGAACTCAGAAGGGCATAAAATTGGGCACATTAGAAAGGGCACAAAATTGGGAAAGGCTGTACATGAGCAAAGTACACAATGAAATAACATTTCTAGTTGCCTGTTTGATACACTTTTTACCTTTTATCAAGTTTGGGGATATTTGTCTTTTTAATTAATTTCTGATTGTCCTATTCCTGATTAGTTGGATCAGGAATTGGACAAGGTGAGACCATTTAATGTTTACGTTTTCATCTCTCTATTTTTTGTCTGTTTTCATGTGGAAAGGCATGGGCTATGTATAGCAAAAAATATAATAAATCAACTCCTAGTAAATGGAAACTCAACTTCCGCTGTGCCATGAACAGTACAAAGAGATTTGAAGAACTGGTGTCAGATAAACCTGACTTTCACAAATACAGAATCATCCCCCTGAAACCAAAAACTGAATCAACAGCTAACCTCTCTTCGGGTACAAGTAAGACTTCTTGTATTATATTATTAAGCCAGAGGGATGCAATTTCCTGTGTATAAGAAATAATGAGAAAAGTTACGAATCTGAAGTTTTGAAAGGATATCATTTAAAAATAAATGGTGGATATTCATATTATTCTAAGCTAACTTTGCCAAGCATTATCTTAGAGAATGCTATAACAATGACTGTGTATATTAGGGCTTTTCAAATTTGGCCCTTTTATGACTTGTGGACTTCAACTCCCAGAATTCCTCAGCCAAGCATGCTGGCTGAAGAATTCTGGGAGTTGAAGTCCACAAGTCATAAAAGGACCATGTTTGAAGACCCCTGGTATATATCATAGACCAGCAACTGCATCTTAAAGTACTTTGATTTTCTAGAACCCTTTCATATATGAAAATTTGCAGTGGTACAGGATTGGATTTTTGAAAAAAGATTGCCAATTATTAGGCAATGTGCAATAAGTATACTTCAATTTAGGAAGTGTGAATTAAGATGGTATGTTTGGGACTGGAATGAACCAACTTCATAGCTTGTCTTTGTTACACAAAGATTCCTCTTGTCCCAGTGATGGGAGCTCTGATGTGTCAGGATTGTGAAACCCAAATAAGTGAGCTTGGAGGTGATCCTCCTGAGGGGGAGTATGGTATTTTCAAGTACATACAAAACTGTGCAATTTGAGTATCAGCTTTTAAAAACTAAGCTTAAGCACTACTGAGTGGGGCTAACAATCAACATATTGGCAAAGTAGCTCTGCTGAGGTGAATCCAACTGGCAGAGAGAAATTAGAATTATACAACATGCTTTCTTGACTCAAAAAACATTAACTAATCACCCAAACTGAATAAGAGTTGGCGATAGAAGCCCAATATATTACTAGTGCATGGAATGCTAGGTGATATTACTTGTGACTCAGTATAGCTTATGCTCAACGAAAAAATATTTGAATTTAATTCTTAATAAGTAAAACAGAAAATTCTCAATATCTCAATAACAATATTTTTTGCTGTTATCCTCTTTTTAAGATAATGGGAGTGACCATGAAGTTCAAGTATTGCATTTCAGTCCATACAGTGAAGAATGTCCACCTCTGCACCAATCTGCACAGCTATGCCAGGTACAGATCTGTAGCCCTTGCTGTGATGACTGGATTTGAGAAGGCAGAGGAGCCACTGAAAACATGAAGTTTTGGAATTAGTCAACATTGATATGGAAAATTGTATGGAAAAATTGTATGGAAATTGTATGGAATTGTAAATTGTATGGAAAAATCACTGAATGAATTCATAACAAATAATCTATGCTGACAAAACTGAAAAGCATACGGATACAGAGATTATGGGGATATTTACAGGAGTGGAGAAACCCCTTTCTCTAGAGAAATAGCATCTTAGACAATTTGTGAAACTTATTCAAAATGGAAAGCAACAAAAAAAAATACAGGATGCAGGTGAAGTCTTGAAGTCAAACCAGTTCCTGATCTATCTTTCTGTTTAACCTAGAGATCTAGTATTTATCAATAATCTAAGTTTTTACCAGGCTCAATCTTGCCTAACTTTTTAAGATCATTCAAAGTCAGAGAGATGCTGCTGTTTGTCTGTTTTATCATATACTTGAAGTATATTTCAAGGGAAATAAATCAGGTGCAACATCTTCTCCCAGAACCATTCAAGGCCTTGTGAAGTACTGTTCCTTTGCCTTCTCTTGCTGCCATTGTTTTATACGTTAAAAAGTGGTTTTAAGTATCTGAAGAATTTTTTCTTCATTGTAAAACACTAGCAAATTATATTAGTATCTGATTAAGTGTGAACACCCAAGTACCTTTTTAGGCATGTGGGTTGGAAGCACCTTTGATTCTATGGTTTTTAAGAAACTTTTCATCCAAGAATTTTCCAGTTAACTTCCATCTACTGATGCTTAAACTGTGATAATTTTTAGATGTGAAACCAAAAGTTATTCTTGTTTTAATCAAGATTGTACTAAGAATGTAAAACCTATGTTGCCCAAAAGCTTGGTTTAAATGTTTGTCCACTGAATTCTTTTCTATGGAGGATACATTATATTTTGGTATTAGAATGTGCTATTGAAGACACATAATACAATCATTTTGTTGATTTGGGTGCTTATTAGATTATTTTAGTCTGGGCTGTCCGGCTGATATTAATGTTTTTATTGGTTTTAATGTGCTAAGAGTCTGCTAGAATGGCTGCCAATCCATTTTAATTAAATAATTAATCTGGAGATGTTCAGAGTCTAGGTAGAAAGAATGTTTAGAAACCCCTGGTAATCTAGAAATTGCCTTATGCTAACCCAATAATCCTTTTTGGATCAAGTATTATTGACATGGATTGGCACCATCTGTGTAGTAATTTAGACTGGAATCTTTGCTCACCCTTCCTTACTGGACATGATAAGGGTGAAATTTGAGGCCGTCTACATGCCAAGTGTACATTTACTATTGAGTTGTTATACCAGGATCTGTCATCTTAAATTCCTAATGGACTAAATATTTTCAAGTCCCATGCTTTTTCAAGAGGCAACTGGACTTTCTTGTTTTTCTTTGAAGATGTTTCACTTCTCATCCAAGAAGTTTCTTCAGCCCTGATTTTCAAGGAGGGCCCTTTGCTCTCCCTTTTACTTTTTCATGAAAAAAATACACAGCAGTTTCCTGCCTAGTAGAAGTGAACAATCTGATTCATATAGATTTGAAATGGGAGATATGAACTACACGCTTTTAAGTCTGTGGTTTTGATAGCAATAATTCTTAGATCCCTCCTGCATAATATGGAGGTAACTTAATTTGGAAGACCTGAGGTAGCTTTTGTGGCACTTTAAGTTGAGAGTGAATTGATTACTGAAAAATGTGGCAGTGTCATGGGGTAAGCTCTAAGTGTACTATCAAGGCAGGTCAATTGGCATATAATGAACATTTTCATATGGTATTTCTCAGTATGTGCAGCAAAACCTTTCGTCTGGTTCACAGCTGGAAATTGATGCTGCTTTTCAAACTTTGACACTGGAAAATGGAATGCCAGGTAAAGTTGTGGGTGCTCATTTATTTCTACAAGAGTTGGCTGGGATAGGGGCTTTGATCATCTTGACTAGACTGCGATGAAACGTGTTTAATAATAACAAGTATAAATGTGTCCATTTTCACTGCCACAGTTCAACTGGAACCACAGTTGCAGGCAACTTTATGCCTGTGAAATGGTGAAACATCCTTTTTTTAATTATTAAAACTTACACCTGGTTTTCTAAATTAGGAATTTGGGCTGCCAATTATATCTGATAATGCCTATTGCTGTATGATTGAATTATTGAAAGGAAGGAAAGTGGGAAAACCTTTTAATTTGTAGTATACTTCTTAGGCTTTATCTATTGTTATACTGAACACTGTTTGGCCAAGATGAGAACTGATCAATGTATTTTATTGATAACTCCTGAAGAGACTATATTGGTCCAGCTCCATTGGATCATTTGTTAGCAAAAGTTTTTGAGAAAGACTATAGATGCAGCTGCAAAGTAATCTTGGACAGAGCAAATTTAGATAAAATCCCTTTTTGGTCAAATTTCAGACTCGTGGTTGTAGGACTGAAGCTGCTCTGATCACTTTGGTAGATGATTTTTATTTGGACCTAGATGCCCGAGTGCATCCCTCTTAGTCCTATTTAATTTCTTAGAAGCGTTCATTACCATAAATTCTGGTATTCTTTTGGACCCCCTGCAATGTGTGGGAATTGATTGCATTCTGCACCAGTGTTACTTCCTATCCATTTTCAGGTTTAGTCATTTGTGATGGGGATGAGTTCCTGGATGCTTGTCCATGGGGTTCCACAGGGTTCATGTATTTCCCTTACATTTTTCAAAATATCTACCTGAAACACATGGCTGAAGTCCTTCTATTTGGAATAAGCAAATATTATGCTGATGATATCCAGTTATATATCTTCACCCAGGGCCAGACAGGAGGTACAGTGGGTCTCCTACCCAATGTCTAGAGCTAATCAGGGACAGAATGAGATGAAGTATTCTGACACTGGGCTTCCTCTACCCAAATGCATAATTGATTATGATATTTGCCATTGGCTTTTCCTTTGTTAACGCACACGTGCAGACAGTTAACAACCATTACAATCCAGTGGTGTAGCTTGCAGAGATTCCCCAAGAATTTACATTACATTACGTTTAATGTTGATAAAGTCAGTAGGCTAAGTAAGTTTATTGCATACGTGTCATTGCAAAAATCTTGTTAACGGTGGATCTTAATGTATATGTAGGTTCTGCAGTGCCAAATGAGAATGCAGCAGGCAGTTTTTACCAGACCAGGGATGATATGCTCCAGTGGATTATTCAGGAGTCCCAACTGAATCTGACTGAAAAGTTGCAGGTCTCACAGGCCTCAACAGTAACTACAGATTCCAGTAATCCTATAGGTAAGTCTAAACATAGACTTTAAACAATGAATCACAAAATTACAGAAGTGGAAGGGACCTTGAAGTTTTATCTAGTCCATCTTCCTGCTTAGTACAGGATGCAGTAGAGTGTCTCTGACAGGGGTCTTCTCCAGCCTCTGGGATGAAGACCTTTTTAAAAAAATAATTTTATTTAATATATAAAACACAAAGAAAAATAGAAATCAGAGATTAAGGGAGGGAAAAGGAAAGGGGAAGAGAAGGTGTGAAGTACAAGGCAAAAGGAAAAAAAAGGTATTGACTTCCAACTCTTCAGCACAGTACAAAATAAAAGCACTCTAGCCTCAACTTTTTGTTTTTACACATTATTATATAACTAGCCATTTCTATAACACCAGATCTATCTAATCGACAAAACCAAAGTCAAAATTATTATTATTTTTCGTCACAAGCACAAAATCCAGAAGTGGCATCCAAATGAAAAACATACTCAAGTATATTCTCCTCTTTAAATAGAATGATCAATTTAGCCATTCCTGCTTTACCTTCCTTGCTGTGGAAGTAGTATGTATTTCTATTTGCACCTAATAATCTTTATAAACTATCACCATTTTTATTAACAAAGTTAACTCTATACTTTGAAATTCTTTGACCTTACTGGGAAAAGTACTTTTTTTTTCACCACGCCCTTTTTTTTTAAAAGAAAAATGCTAAACTTTCATTAAATACTTTTCTAAAATCAAAACTTTCTAATACTTTTTTTCTTCTTTAACTTCTTAACATACAGGCTTTGAACTTCAATATTGAATTTAGCTCCCACCCTCCAAACTACCCTTATACAATAATATCTTTTTTTCTTCCTTTTATAAACATATAAAAGTTTTCTTTAAACTAGTACATCATTTTCTTTAACTTTCTCTTAGCGCAAGTACTCTCAAATACATTTTCAAAAACATTTTTCATACTTTAAAAATTACTATATATATAATTTTCAAATTTTTGATAAAGACTTTCTTTCAGTTATAAATATCAAGCAAAGAAAAATCCATCCTACTTCCAGTTGTTGAAGGTTTAAGTCATTCCTTCCAGGTTATCTTCATAGAGTAAAATCTTTTTCTTCTCTAGAAGTTTTACCCGGAAGTTGTAGACCTTTTTATCACGGAATCCTCAGCCTTGTTAATGTCCTTAAAGAGAAAGTCCAAATTTGTCTTTTTTCTTCTTTCAGTTGTATTGAGAGTTTTATATTTACACCATAATAATGAAAGTTAATATCAGGTTCTTCCAAAACTGCAATGAGCTGCTTTGCATTTTCTGCCTTTTCAACTACTTGTGAAGTTTCAACTACTTGTGAAGTTGCCTTGGTAGTATGATAGCATTCTCCACATGTTTGCATCTCAATAATTTGAGAGGATTTTTTTTATCATCCTTAAAGCACAGCTGGTCAACGAATTGCCAAATTTTATTTTCAACTATTTCTCTAATAACCTGTTCCACCATCTTGGCTTCCACTTTTAATCAGTATCAGAAAATTTTTGCCACCCGCAGCAGAGAAGACCAGGCTACAAGTTACTACAATATTAAACTAAAATCACAGCCTTCCTTTTTTATATGTCTCCATCAGCTTTTTTTTTCCTTCACCACACTTCCTTATTTGGCTTGCCTTAGCAGCCTTCTTCCTTATTGTTTAAGGCAAAGAAAAATCCCTAAAATGGCATGAGTCTTCAAAAAGGCACAACAGGCTGTAACTAAAAAGAGCCTCTTTTTAACTTGGCTTGAAAAGAATAAAAGTCTTTAAAGGTGGTTAAGAAGGGAAACCCCTTCATGGATTACTGCCTTGTTGTGGCGAAGGGGCTTGCATGCAGGGCCACCCAAGACGGACAGGTCATAGCAGAGAGTTCTGACAAAATGATCCACTGGAGAAGGAAATGGCAACCCACTCCAGTATCTGTGCCATGAAAACCCCATGGACAGTACCAAAAGGCTGGAGAAGAGCCTAATGCTGGGAAAGATTGAGGGCAATAGAAGAAGGGGACGACAGAGAATGAGGTGGCTGGATGGAGTCACTAAAGCAGTAGGAGTGAGCTTAAATGGACTTCAGAAGATGGTAGAGGACAAGAAGGCCTGGAGAAACGTTGTCCATGGGGTCGCGATGGGTCGGACACGACTTTGCAACTAACAAGAAGAGAAAGGCACAACTTACTGACTGTTTGAAATATGGATTTCAAGTGTCGGCTTCTTCAACCCCAAACAGATTGCAGCCCCCCCCCAGCTTTTGGCATGCAGATTGCTTCATACGAACTCCAGAAGCCGTCTGCCAGCTTACAGCTGTTTTGGAGGGTTCTGAGGGAAAGTTCTTCGACCCACACTGACTGGGTGGGTCTTAAAAACTGAAGGAATGCCAAGTCCCTTCAGTTAAAAGGTTGAAGAGCTACACCCCAGGGAGAAATCCTTCAGAGATCTTTCTCTGGGCATGTCACCCAGTTGGCCATCTTCCCGTAAGTCCAGCATCATATCAAACTTTTTTTTTCCTGTATAGTAAACACTCCCATGTTCTTTAATAATTCCTGTTTGATCACTCATTGAAATGTTTCTTGGCCAATCATTTATACTCTTGAGTTCTGGGCTGTCTCTTTGGCTCCATTAAATTAAGCATGTAATGCCTTTATGCTAGGTTTTATCCAAAAGAAACAAAGAGAGTCTTGTGGAGAAGACCAGTGGCTGGAGAACATATATAAAGAAGGGCTGTCTACAAAACTCTTTTTATCATCTGTTTTTCCTATCTGTAATAAAGGCTGTGGATTCTTTCTGCTGGTTACCTTGTTTTATTTTTCTAAATACACCAGGGAATGCTGTTTTATATGAGCAAAGAAGTTCCTCTGAAGCCCCTCAGGTCATCCAAAATGACTGCTTACCTACAGGGAATGGAGTAGTGGTTGAACCTGTGGCAATTAACTATTACCAAGAAGGACCCCAGTGGCTACCTGCAAACCCAACAAATCAGATTTCCCAGTCAACCGTTGCTTTTCCAGTGTCACATGCTCAACAAAACGTTCCTGGTACTAATCAATTTAATCAATCGGGTGAGTAAAGTATTCTGCAGCATATCTAGATGAATTCAGCCCAAATGGAGGTCAAAACTTTCCTTAAATTGAATCACTGTAGTGGCTTAAATTCCTGTTGACACTATCAAAAGATAGTTCCCCTCTTCCTAATTCCATTTGCCCAGACTTTGCAAGCTTATGAAAGGTGGGAGAGGAATGAAAAAAAATCTAGGCTAATTGCTTGTCCAGCAAAGAGTGAGAGGTTACTTCGTTGTCTCCTGACTCCCAATTAAACACTTCATACTTGGAGAGGAAACTTATCCTTCTAGGAAACTAGTAAGACAAATACAAACAAACAAAGGGCAGAGGCACATTGTTAGTGAGTGGTTTAATAAGGCAGTGCAGAGAATGGCTGTTGTCACTGGAGCCACGGCGAAATGAATTCAAGAAGTGATAGGGCTAGAGCAAGATCACACAATTTTCCTGATTTTTCTCTTATTTGGTTCATTAAGACAGAAGTAAGTGGTTTGGCTAAACCAAGCCTTATAAGGATTTACAAGTCATCTCACTTTTCACCAGTTTCGTGACTTCTTTGTATTCTTAGCTGGCATTTTATCACCTTTTGACTTGATAGCTTAATATAAAATATAAAATTACCAAACAAGACTTTTCCCTCTGTATCTGCATTTGTTTCCAAAACCATTCTAAGTAAGCAAATCTATATACAATATAATATATTCCTAACATATATGTGTTTCTAACTTGTGTATTTCCTCTACCCTAGCCCCCAGATCCTATTACCTATTGACCACTGTNTTGATCATCTTGACTAGACTGCGATGAAACGTGTTTAATAATAACAAGTATAAATGTGTCCATTTTCACTGCCACAGTTCAACTGGAACCACAGTTGCAGGCAACTTTATGCCTGTGAAATGGTGAAACATCCTTTTTTTAATTATTAAAACTTACACCTGGTTTTCTAAATTAGGAATTTGGGCTGCCAATTATATCTAATAATGCCTATTGCTGCATGATTGAATTATTGAAAGGAAGGAAAGTGGGAAAACCTTTTAATTTGTAGTATACTTCTTAGGCTTTATCTATTGTTATACTGAACACTGTTTGGCCAAGATGAGAACTGATCAATGTATTTTATTGATAACTCCTGAAGAGACTATATTGGTCCAGCTCCATTGGATCATTTGTTAGCAAAAGTTTTTGAGAAAGACTATAGATGCAGCTGCAAAGTAATCTTGGAGAGAGCAAATTTAGATAAAATCCCCTTTTGGTCAAATTTTAGACTCGTGGTTGTAGGACTGAAGCTGCTCTGATCACTTTGGTAGATGATTTTTATTTGGACCTAGATGCCCGACTGCATCCCTCTTAGTCCTATTTAATTTCTTAGAAGCGTTCATTACCATGAATTCTGGTATTCTTTTGGACCCCCTGCAATGTGTGGGAATTGATTGCATTCTGCACCAGTGTTACTTCCTACCCATTTTCAGGTTTAGTCAGTTGTGATGGGGATGAGCAGTTGAGTTCCTGGATGCTTGTCCATGGGGTTCCACAGGGTTCATGTATTTCCCTTACATTTTTCAAAATATCTACCTGAAACACATGGCTGAAGTCCTTCTATTTGGAGTAAGCAAATATTATGCTGATGATATCCAGTTATATATCTTCACCCAGGGCCAGACAGGAGGTACAGTGGGTCTCCTACCCAATGTCTAGAGCTAATCAGGGACAGAATGAGATGAAGTATTCTGACACTGGGCTTCCTCTACCCAAATGCATAATTGATTATGATATTTGCCATTGGCTTTTCCTTTGTTAACACACATGTGCAGACAGTTAACAACCATTACAATCCAATGGTGTAGCTTGCAGAGATTCCCCAAGAATTTACATTACATTACATTACAGTTAATGTTGATAAAGTCAGTAGGCTAAGTAAGTTTATTGCATACGTGTCATTGCAAAAATCTTGTTAATGGTGGATCTTAATGTATATGTAGGTTCTGCAGTGCCAAATGAGAATGCAGCAGGCAGTTTTTACCAGACCAGGGATGATATGCTCCAGTGGATTATTCAGGAGTCCGAACTGAATCTGACTGAAAAGTTGCAGGTCTCACGGGCCCCAACAGTAACTACAGATTCCAGTAATCCTATAGGTAAGTCTAAACATAGACTTTAAACAATGAATCACAAAATTACAGAAGTGGAAGGGATCTTGAAGTTTTATCTAGTCCATCTTCCTGCTTAATACAGGATGCAGTAGAGTGTCTCTGACAGGGGTCTTCTCCAGCCTCTGGGATGAAGACCTTTTTAAAAAAATAATTTTATTTAATATATAAAATACAAAGAAAAATAGAAATCAGAGATTAAAGGAGGGAAAAGGAAAGGGGAAGAGAGGTAGGTATTGACTTCCAACTCTTCAGCACAGTATAAAATAAAAGCACTCTAGCCTCAACTTTTTGTTTTTACACATTATTATATAACTAGCCATTTCTATAACACCAGATCTATCTAATCGACAAAACCAAAGTCAAAATTATTATTATTTTTCGTCACAAGCACAAAATCCAGAAGTGGCATCCAAATGAAAAACATACTCAAGTATATTCTCCTCTTTAAATAGAATGATCAATTTAGCCATTCCTGCTTTACCTCCCTTGCTGTGGAAGTAGTATGTATTTCTATTTGCACCTAATAATCTTTATAAACTATCATCATTTTTATTAACAAAGTTAACTATATACTTTCAAATTCTTTGACCTTACTGGGAAAAGTACTTTTTTTTTCCACCACCCCCTTTTTTTTAAAGAAAAATGCTAAACTTTCATTAAATACTTTTCTAAAATCAAAACTTTCTAATACTTTTTTTCTTCTTTAACTTCTTAACATACAGGCTTTGAACTTCAATATTGAATTTAGCTCCCACCCTCCAAACTACCCTTATAGAATAATATCTTTTTTTCTTCCTTTTATAAACATATAAAAGTTTTCTTTAAACTAGTACATCATTTTCTTTAACTTTCTCTTAGCGCAAGTACTCTCAAATACATTTTCAAAAACATTTTTCATATTTTAAAAATTACTATATATATAATTTTCAAATTTTTGATAAAGACTTTCTTTCAGTTATAAGTATCAAGCAAAGAAAAATCCATCCTACTTCCAGTTGTTGAAGGTTTAAGTCATTCCTTCCAGGTTATCTTCATAGAGTAAAATCTTTTTCTTCTCTAGAAGTTTTACCCGGAAGTTGTAGACCTTTTTATCATGGAATCCTCAGCCTTGTTAATGTCCTTAAAGAGAAAGTCCAAATTTGTCTTTTTTCTTCTTTTAGTTGTATTGAGAGTTTTATATTTACATCATAATAATGAAAGTTAATATCAAGTTCTTCCAAAACTGCAATGAGCTGCTTTGCATTTTCTGCCTTTTCAACTACTTGTGAAGTTTCAACTACTTGTGAAGTTGCCTTGGTAGTATGACAGCATTCTCCACATGTTTGCATCTCAATAATTTGAGAGGATTTTTTTTATCATCCTTAAAGCACAGCTGGTCAACGAATTGGCATATTTTATTTAAAGACATTTCAACTATATTTCTAATAATCTGTTCCACCATCTTGGCTTCCACTTTTAATCAGTATCAGAAAATTTTTGCCACCCACAGCAGAGAAGACCAGGCTACAAGTTACTACAATATTAAACTAAATTCATTTTTTATATGACTCCGTCAGCTTTTTTTTTTCTTCACCACATTTCCTTATTTGGCTTGCCTTAGCAGCCTTCTTCCTTATTGTTTAAAGCAAAGAAAAATCCCTAAAATGGCATGAGTCTTCAAAAAGGCACAACAGGCTGTAACTGAAAAGAGCCTCTCTTTAATTTGGCTTGAAAAGAATAATAGTCTTTGAAGGTGATTAAGAAGAGAAACCCCTTCATGAATTACTGCCTTGTCGTGGCGAAGGGGCTTGCGTAACTCAATGAAACTATGAGCTATGCCCTGCAGGGCCACCCAAGACAGACAGGTCATAGCAGAGAGTTCTGACAAAATGTGATCCACTGGAGAAGGAAATGGCAACCCACTCCAGTATCTTTGCCATGAAAACCCCATGGACAGTACCAAAAATCTGGAGAAGAGCCTAATGCTGGGAAAGATTGAGGGCAATAGAAGAAGGGGACGACAGAGAATGAGGTGGCTGGATGGAGTCACTGAAGCAGTAGGCGTGAGCTTAAATGGACTTCAGAAGATGGTATAGGACAGGAAGGCCTGCAGGAACGTTGTCCATGGAGTCACGATGGGACGGACACGACTTTGCAACTAACAACAAGAAGAGAAAGGCACAACCTACTGACCGTTTGAAATGTGGATTTCAAGTGTCGGCTTTTTCAACCCCAAACAGATTGCAGCCCCCCCCCCCAGCTTTTGGCATGCAGATTGCTTCGTACGAACTCCAGAAGCCGTCTGCCAGCTTACAGCTGTTTTGGAGGGTTCTGAGGGAAAGTTCTTCGACCCACACTGACTGGGTGGGTCTTAAAAACTGAAGGAATGCCAAGTCCCTTCAGTTAAAAGGTTGAAGAGCTACACCCCAGGGAGAAATCCTTCAGAGATCTTTCTCTGGGCATGTCACCCAGTTGGCCATCTTCCCGTAAGTCCAGCATCATATCAAACTTTTTTTTTCCTGTATAGTAAACACTCCCATGTTCTTTAATAATTCCTGTTTGATCACTCATTGAAATGTTTCTTGGGCCAATCATTTATACTCTTGAGTTCTGGGCTGTCTCTTTGGCTCCATTAAATTAAGCATGTAATGCCTTTATGCTAGGTTTTATCCAAAAGAAACAAAGAGAGTCTTGTGGAGAAGACCAGTGGCTGGAGAACATATATTAAGAAGGGCTGTCTACAAAACTCTTTTTATCATCTGTTTTTCCTATCTGTAATAAAGGCTGTGGATTCTTTCTGCTGGTTACCTTGTTTTATTTTTCTAAATACACCAGGGAATGCTGTTTTATATGAGCAAAGAAGTTCCTCTGAAGCCCCTCAGGTCACCCAAAATGACTGCTTACCTACAGGGAATGGAGTAGTGGTTGAACCTGTGGCAATTAACTATTACCAAGAAGGACCCCAGTGGCTACCTGCAAACCCAACAAATCAGATTTCCCAGTCAACCGTTGCTTTTCCAGTGTCACATGCTCAACAAAACGTCCCTGGTACTAATCAATTTAATCAATCGGGTGAGTAAAGTATTCTGCAGCATATCTAGATGAATTCAGCCCAAATGGAGGTCAAAACTTTCCTTAAATTGAATCACTGTAGTGGCTTAAATTCCTGTTGACACTATCAAAAGATAGTTCCCCTCTTCCTAATTCCATTTGCCCAGACTTTGCAAGCTTATGAAAGATGGGAGAGGAATGAAAAAAAATCTAGGCTAATTGCTTGTCCAGCAAAGAGTGAGAGGTTACTTCGTTGTCTCCTGACTCCCAATTAAACACTTCATACTTGGAGAGGAAACTTATCCTTCTAGGAAACTAGTAAGACAAATACAAACAAAAAAAGGGCAGAGGCACGTTGTTAGTGAGTGGTTTAATAAGGCAGTGCAGAGAATGGCTGTTGTCACTGGAGCCACGGCGAAATGAATTCAAGAAGTGATAGGGCTGCCTGGAGGCCGTACGGGTCTGGATGGGGAGGAACAGACTCAGGCTCAACCCTTCCAAGACCGAGTGGCTGTGGTTGCCGGCGTCTCGGTATGGTCAGCTGACGCCATCGCTGACTATAGGGGGCGAATCTTTGGCCCCCTCAGAGAGGGCGCGCAACTTGGGAGTCCTCCTGGATTCACGGCTGACTTTGGATGA